CTTTTTTTTTGTTTGGTTTTTTTCGGTTTGTGGGTGGGGGGCCGGCGCTTTCTGCGGATTCGCAGACCACACACCCTTACGATTGGAGCAAAAAAAAAAAAAAAAAAAAAAAAAAAAAAAAAAAAAACTCGATTTTTAATTCCCTTTCCGTGTTGTAATTTTAGTCTCACATGACACATACGTAGTAGCAGTAGTGGTAGTTTTTCAGCCCAACTGTGAGCAGATGTCCCCAACAGTCAGCATGCGTAAACTCATATTCAAAGAATAGGTTTAGCTAGCCAAGTTTATATAACCTATCATCCTCCATTTAGTGATTGAAGCTGACATTTTGGAATTTTTACTGTAAACCCCATAAAAACGGGTGATCGACGACAAACAAGTTGTTGATTTCAAGTATTGACGATCCGGTGCTCGAACATTACTAGCTCTTGTTTTGCATACCTTGCACGACCTTTGATTACGAACCCGTTAATCGTAGCGATGCACCAAGCGGTATTGTACACTTGATACTACGTACCAAGGCTATAGGGGAGAAAAGAAATTACAGTTTTGTCACCATTATATATATGTATTTATAAATAAATATATCCGGCATCACATATATACATACATATATTATTATTATTATTTTTCGTATTATACTACGGCCCAGTATAAAAGCTATTGTAAAACCTATCACTTGTGTCTCCACCTTTCTTTTTTACCTTTGGCCTCCTTTTTTTTTTTTCCTTATTCCATACAACCTTTCGAACCCTTTCTTATGAACCGGGGCTGAAACAAAAGTATTAATATTGGATTTTACTATTATTATTGTTGTTATTATTACGGTAACGTCTTTTGTATTTCCATCGCGGCACATCCCATCCCTCTCGACTTACTTCCTTTCTCTTGATTTGCTCCATTGAAATATTGTTACGTCATCCCTCTCTGACAATCGTTTATGTCTTATAGTGACGCGATAAACACAAGGATTTAAGAACTAGCGAAACACACATTTCAATAATGCCTGCACCCGAGACACTCGAAGAATTTTTCGAAATGAACGACCCGGAAGAGGAACAAATAGATGCTGCCAGTTTACTTCCTCTGATGCTGCAAGCTCAGGATCTGGTCGCTAAGTTGGAGAGTAGGGTGATGGAATTGGAAAATGACCTCGAGGTGTGTTACGCTGTTGTGTTTCAAGGAAAAAAAAAGTGGACCTGATTTTTCCTACTCAATCACTTGTTTGCATGACATGATTACTCTCGCACTAGACCATAAATGAAGCGCACGAACAGGAGCGTGATCAGTTACTTCAAGAAATTGGTGAGAAGGATGAGTGCATTCACAGTTTAAAGACTAAGGCTAGTCGACTTGAATTTGGTGCTCGAGAGGCGATCATTGTGCTTGCGAGAACGGTGGAAATACTCAAAGCGCAAAATCTCGAAGACGATGAGGATAGTGGTAAAGATGATGATGACAACGCTACGGCCGTAGAATCGACAGATTTAGAGGGACAATTCCTTGATAGTATCAAATTATGCTTAAACTACCTAAAGAGTTCTCAGACCAATCAAACCAATCAAAAGGTCTCCAAAGGATACAAAAGACTTCCGCCCTCACCCTCACCACCATTGCAATCGATCCCCGCACGGCGGGATTCAAAATTTCAATCATCTAGTGACGGTGATTCAGATCGGGAGGTTGATATAACGATCCCCCAAAAGAGTGACGAAAACGAAGTTCAATACGATCACGATCAAAACAACGAAGTCGATGACATACAAAATCAAAGCAATGAAACCGATGACCATCACCGTCAATCGCGTAGGGGGTCTTTCAGCGGTAGTCAAATTTCGCTGGACGAGATACCGGATCTCGATGAATATGGATTGGACGGCTCGGAGGACATTGCTGATTTTGCCATGTCTGACGACGAGGACAATCAATTTAAATATCGTCCTCCGCCGAGGCGAGGATCGATAGACAGCGAAGAGGATGAGGAGGAAAGGCGTAGGGCTAATGCTTTTGTCAACGATTTCCATAATGATGTGGACAACGATCAGAAAGGAGAAGAAACGGAACACGAAGATGATGAAACGGATGAGGATGTGAATGTGGATGAACATCATAATATTCACGATCTTCTTCCTCCATCCGGTCCCGTCCCCGACATTTCACATACCAATCTTTGTCCCAATTGTAACACGCTGCTCGCCCAAGTGGATCAACACATAGAAGAACGCGCGTACCTCAAACGGGATCTTTCTGCTCTCGCTGTTTCCCTCACGGAGGAGCAAACCCTTCGCGCGCAAGTTCAAGCCAATAAAGAAGCCCTGGAATTGGAAATTGATGAATGGATAAATGCCATGTTCGAGAAAGTCAACCAGATGGTATTCGACGAAGCGAATTCACGTGAAGAATTGGAGTTGCTGAACAGAGAGACCAAGGGCAAGATGGAGAATGCGCTGAAATCTTCGGGAAGCAGGCAAGATCGGTTAAGGGAGTTGAAATTATTATTGGTCCACTTGGACTCCACCAAACAAAGGCAGGCCGTGCCAACACAGAACGGTGCTCCTTTGGGCAGGAATTCCGTCGTTCGACGGAGTTTGATGTCGAACTCACCGATTCACAGTCCTAGGTCAAGTAGGATTTTTGGAAACTTTGGTCATATGTCACCGAGCATATTTTCGGGCATCTCCGCTGAAGATGTGGTCTTTGCTAAAAATAAACGGATTTACATTGATGGTGTTTTCTTTGAGGAATTCCAAGAATACGTAAAGTCTTTCTCCTCCACGCCAGCTCTAAATAATTCAGCCCCCACTCATCCATTCATGAAACGATGCATGGCCATGGACATTCAGCCTTGCTTGTTCGAGGGGAGCAGTGGTTGGAAATCTCCATTTTACAAGAGAAGGTTACTGGACGCTATAATGAAGAATCAGTGTGAAATTCAGACGACGTTGCCCAGCACTGTGAACTCCATTCAGAGCAATACTAATACCAGCCAAATCAGTAACTCAACTTCAAACACGCGGCATAGCATCTACTTCGAGCAACCGCAAGCGCCGACGCTCAAATGTGGTCTTTGCGGCCATATGAGAAGTTGCGATTACCGCATGCGCCTGTCCGGACCAGACGCTGCAGTGCCGCCGACAGCAACGATGACCCCATCATCACGTTTCTCGGTTACCGGAAGCCCAGGCTGGATTCCGTTGGATCGATTCTGTAGGGATCGTGTGGTGGCTGTGTGCGATTTTTATGCTTACTTGTCTCACTTGCGTCAAGGTTTGCTCGCCAATTCGCCAGTGTGGGGAATGTACAAGCAATGTCTCAAACATCGCAGGAAGATGAGTTTGGCGCGTGTCGGTGGCGTCAGCATGCTCGACGACGAGGAAAATTTTAACAACGAATACTTGAATTACCCGGAGGTGGAGGGAATGGTTGTGATTGTTCATTAAAGATGTTTTATAATCTTTGGACAATAGACAGCGGGAAATATTTTCATGTCGTATACACATTTTTTTTTCCCGTCATTTAACCTTAATTTTTATTGACTGAATCATATCGGTGGCGCGCTCGTTATTTGCCTTTGGTATCATCATCATTAGAGAGAAAGAAATGAAAGAAATGTAAACTCGAGGCAAGAAAAGAGTTGTGATGCCATAGCTGATGCACTGAGATGTACTTATAAAATTTTCGCATATATATATATACATACATATATATAAACCATTATTGATAATCATTTTTCACATTATTCCTTTCCCCAAAGGGAATGAAAATAGATGGTTCCTGAATTACATATTCTAACATGTAGCTATATATTTTTATCCTTGGTTACGTTTTCGTTTATTGTACTTTTAAGCATAAAGATGCTCATCTTTCTGTTTTTGTATATTAATTACACGGAAAACCTAAGAAATTTTTCTTCAAAAGATCATATAATAAATATTTAAAAATGTCTCTTCCTTTTTCTTTGTAAAATTGTTCATAATAAATTGCCGTTATAAACAGAATTTATACCATTTACCCGTTTCAAACTTTATTTTTAATTGCGGATCATTTGATTCAACTTAAAACGATTTCTGTTTTGTAAGCATCTTGAATATTTTTTTAAGTAATATTATTGCTTAATTCATTTTCATTTTTTTTTTTTTTTTTAATAACAAACATAGTCAACTTGATTATTGGAGACAATATAAATACAAAACTATTAATACAGTTGCTTCCAAAAGTTTGAGTCCACTTACTATGTTTTTATTATAAATTTGACAATTTTTAAATCCTTAATTATTTTTTATTTTTTTATTTTTTTTACCCTCTATTAGATTAATTATGTGTGCTTTATTAAACATTAGTATACTATACATTTAAAATGAATCACTAAAGCTAAATCTCTAATTAGCTCACTTGTCTTGGTTATTATCACTCTAAATGTAACTTCGAAAGTGATTTATTGCTCCATTAGTAGCTCAGGTAAAAACCCTTCCAACTACTAATTTCATTGCCTGCAGCTCATTACTGCAGATCCTCCTTATGAGTTCTGACAGAGATTAATTATCCCATCTCGCAAGACCTGTTTGAGTATCGTATTTTCTGATTCTTCTTTCTTTAATGGTACTTGATATAACTGATTTCCTGGTACCTTGGCCCTATTTTTTTGCTTCTGTAAATGTATCAGCCTTTTGATCTTGTCACCTCTATTGATTCCTAATGTCTATTTTAATTCTATTATTTTTTCACATTTGATATTTTAAATTTTCTTTCTGAAGTGGTTACGTGTTTTCTTCTGTATCTTCATTATCCATTTTCTTGCTTCTTTACCGATTATCTTTCCATAGCACTTCAAGTCTGCTATCTCATTCATTAGGTCTTTTTTAATTAGTCCCATGCAAAAGCTAAGTACGTATATCCCAACCAGTATTTGAGATTCTTTTTACTAGTTGAGCTATTTTCTTATTCATTTCTCCTCTTTTTATTTTGTCATCAACTATCAAGCTTATCTCTTTTTCTTCTGACTCCTTTTTCCTATCTATCAGAAGTTTGTTGAAACCTTGCATCATATCTTCCATATCCTTATGTCAGGTTTCTTGCTACTGAGTTTTGTATACTGGACATTCTAGCAAGTATTCTATTGTCTCTTCTTGCTATTCACATGTGAGATATTTTGCTTGCTTATATAAGTCTGGTCTTCTTGTGGCTAGCTTTGTTAATATAGGTAGTTCATCACTAGTCATTTTAACAAGAAAACTTTTTCTTTGGGATTCTTTGAAGGAGATATTCCATATATACCCATTATTCATTTGTTTCCAAACTAGGTCCCATATATACCTGTGCTGGTCTTGGATTTAATAACCTCATTTTTTATTTATTCTATTTTGAGTTGTCCATTGATATGTCATTATTTTGACAGTTTTTTTAATAAACTATCTTATTGAAGCATCTAGTACTATATTTTGCCATTTGATTTTACTAATAATTTTAGGTGAATCCAGATCTTACCATTCTATTGTTGGAAACTTTAATGCTTCTTTGACTAGAATGTCTGTTTCCTTATTGTATTGAATATTGGGGTGTGCTTTAACCTTGATAAGATTTAGATTTAATTTTTTTTTCTTTACCAGGCTTAATATTTATACTTACAAGAAACAATTTTGTTCCTTTAACCATATTTTATAGTTTTTTGGAATCCTTCTTTTCTATAGTTTTCCATTTGGAGATGCAGTCTTGACTGTTAGTATGGATCTTATCCTTGCTATTAATTGATACTTCTAATGGTATAGTGATTATTGCTATTAGTTCTGCTCTTGTGGATGAAGGCCAATCAGCTATCCCTGCTTAGAACTTGCTTTCTCTTCCTACTTCTTCAATTTGTATCCATGCTACATCCATCTTCATATTTTCATTTCCGTGATTAACAAGGGATCTATCTGAGTAAAAGGTCATTGATTTATTGCTACTATATCTCTTGTTATATCTAAGCATTTCAATTAGATTGGTTTGATATACGACTTCTTTAATATTCTCTTTAATGAGCTTTTTCTCCCAGTTCTCTATCTTTATTTCTTCCAATTGCCTTTTATTATATTGTGTAGTTATTAAGTCTATATTAATTGTTCTACTTATTGATCCTTTTAGGACTACCTTGAAACAAGAAATTTATAAAAGTTGAGTTCTTGTTATAGATTTTCTAGTATTAAGATAAGGAACCATATATGTTTATTCTATATTTGCTTCTACTATGCATTGTTTTTCAGTCATTATTCCTTCTGGGCAGTCCTACATCACATTAGATTTGATTCTAAGTTTTTCTTGAAGCTGTCACATTTGAAATATTATATTTTAATACATCTTTTATTGTTACCTAGAATTAACTTTTTTCAAATAAGTTGTCGCTGCTGATTATTGCTCTTGGTAACCACCCAAAGTTTTTGCCTTTTATCAAGGTTAAGATTAAGTACTGGATATTCTGGACTCCATTTTAATCAATCTTTTTTTCAAGTTCTTGTGAGCTGTTCTAGTTTGTTTTCTTGTATCTTTCTTATTATTGATAAGTACCATTCTAAAATAGGACCCTTATCTGTCTTTTGTAAGAGTTGGAGCATTCATCAGTCCAATACTTCTCTAGTTTCATAGTTGATAAGCTGATCCATGTATATCAACTTATTGTGTTTGAGTGATAGAATGGTTTTACTGTATTCATTTGTTGACAAATAATCTTTAATTGTACTATTTCTGGTACTTCAAATAAAGACATTATTTCACTTCCAACTATGAAAAGTTATTTCCATATATTGGGTCAATTTCAGTACTTGTAATACAAAATTGCTCTTTCCTGGAAGATGGTTTAGTGAGTTACATATAAGCAGGTTGAGAGATTCTCAGTACTTAATCTGTGATTGCTTTAACTGGATAATTGTTGTGATTCTGGTTGGCCCTAAGTCATTTAACCTATTGCATAATTCTATTATCTGATTTTCTTTTTGTAACATTCAAATACTCTTTAAATTGTAAATCCTGGAATGATGTACTATACTATTAGATATGTATTGACATAGTGTGGCCTTATTTTTGAACAGTTTTCTATATATTATTGTTAGGATATTATACATTTACCAGGATAGTACACTATGCTACATTCTGAATTTGATTCTAGGTATTAAGACTCTATTCAGAATATAAATTACTTGTTTGTCAATTAACTTTTTGTTCTTTAAGGACTTGATAACCATATTGATTTCTTTAAATATCCATTCTTTGAGCTT